TCATGAAAGGTTTTAATTTGTCTAATAGCTTTCACATCCATACATGTTTTTTGCTGCATGGACCTCAAAACGAAGGTGGAAAATGCAGAAAAGTTCCAAAAGAAAATGAATATTTACATAACTTGGATCAGAATCAGAGAATAAAACTACTAGTACAGTTATCCTGATCCATGCTCAACAATCCAGGTAGAAAAATCCAACAGAGTTCAGTCAGGTCCTCTGCACGGTTTCTGTTTGTTGAAACGTTTCGTCCTTCATCCAAAAGACTTTGTCAGCCTGAGGAGCCACAATAAGCTCAGTCTTATAAATAGCACCTTCTCAAACTAACTTTCGGACTAGATTGCCTCGGACTAGTTGGGGCAGGCGGCAGGGGAGAGGGTGGACTACAGCAACCCACGATGTGAAGGTGCTATTTATAAGATTGAGTTTGTTGTGGCTCCTCGGACTGATGAAGACGAAACGCTTCAACACAAAGAAACTGTCCAGAGGACCTGACTCAACTTTGTTGGATACTAGTAGTTAACTTTAAAACTGTGAAACAAATCTTTAGTAAATAAAAACCTACCAGGAATCATTAAGTATTTGATAATAAAAGTAGGCTTTAAACACCGTGAACCATTAATTTGCAGAAAGCCATAACAATAATGTAGGGTTCTCTAAACATTGGGGTCCGGGGCTAATCAGGGACTTTGGAAAGATCGATGCTCTGTTGGTTAACATAGAGGCAGGACATAAACTGTACTGGAACCAGTCAACAGGTCCCATCCTGGCTTCAACGTCCAGGTTTACGTCAGATATCAATCAATATTCTAGAGTCTTGAGCATAATCCATTTATACATCAGACAAAAAATAAAAAGATTTAAGACCTACCATGCATGCCTGAGGGATAACGTATATGGTTTTGTCATCATAAAAATAGTTAAAGTTTCCGAGCAGCTCAGCAAGCTCCTCCTCGGTGTAGCAGACGCTGTGATACTTTGGCAGGTTGGTTATTAACAGAAGCTGTGGCTGAATTGAATAAATCTGTCAACAGAGATAAAGGAAATGAGCTCAGGTTGAGAAAAGTCCACTTTAATACACGCTATGAGACTAAATGGTTACCGATAACTAACCTGAGCCCCAGAGATCAAAGTCGAGGTGAAAAAGGTACTTTATTGAATTTTTGGTCGATATGTTAAAACTTATTCGGCCGATAACCAATACCTATACAGCTGCGTATGTCTCTCTCGTGAGGGTTTTCTTTCACCTTCACTGCTCTTTCTTTGTCTTACAGGCGACTCCTGAGTTACATGCTCAGGCTCATACTTACATACTGATACCTTTATTTTATTTTTTTTACAGCTGTGAAATAATGAAAAAGTCCTTGTGTCGCAGTAATGAACAAAAAAAAAAGATAAAAAAAACACTCATTAAAGTCTAGATTTGTCTGTAGATTTGTCCATCCCTCAGTTTCAAATTGTTTTATTGCAACTCTATGTCTACCGTATTACTCATGTGTTTTTGGAAGGAGCTGTTCTCAACTTGTGTTATACTTCTTGTGTTATTTAACAACTCAGTTCACTGAATTAAAAGAGAACACAAAAGACTTACTACCGTTATATTAAAGACACTGCTTGGCAAGAAAAATCCAAACTAGTTGAAAAAACTGAACCGAAATTAGGCCTGTCGCGATAAACAATAAATCAATTAATCGCACGATGAATGAAAATTATCAACCTCATTTTCATTTATCGGCTTTATCGTTTCTTCGCGTCTCTCTTTTTACTGAAGACATGGCTCAACTCGGGTGCTCTTCACCGACCCCTCCCTTTCTCTTTAAAATCTGTTTTAACCGTCCAAAATCGCATTTTTGGATCGTTAAAAGCAGCTAAGCTACGAGCTAAGCTAACAGGCCGACCTCGGGAATAAACCTCCGTCTTGTCGAGTTCCAAAATTCACGGTTGAAACCTGTGCCTTTGTGTACAAGTTGTTTTTTCCTCTGCAAAAAGAAGCTGAGAACTTGTTTACTGACTTATTTATTAAAAACTTTGTGTGAGCTCAAACCACACCGAGCGGCACCATGTCAGCATGTCAGCTCATGTCAAGGGCCCTCCCTCCCATTTTCCTTAAAGATACACGCTGCTCAACTATCCATCCTTTGGTTCAGTCTTATACTGCCATCAGGTGGTCAAAAAAAGTTACTACACTCCAAACAAATAAAAAAAAATCTAAAATTTGACAATTAATAATTGTTAAATTTCAAATAATATTATTGGTTACCACAATAATTTGAGACAATTAATCGCCCAGCAAAACTTGTTATGACAGGCCTAACAGAAACACAAAGCCAATGTGTCTGACAGCAGAATTAACTGTGCTAGCTCTTACTCTTTTTAGTAGCAAACTTAATATAAGACGGTGAACAAAATGTCTACATAAATAGTCACAATTTGTATTCAGATTTGTACCTTCTAAACATTGCTCCACTATTTTTAACCAAATATAAAACACAATAATGTATCGTTTATACTAACAGATTTACCTCTGGAGGAAGCCGATTTGTCAAAGGTTTCGACAAACTCAAATTTAAAGACGCATTAATATTGGCGTTCCAAACCGACATAGATTGCTTTAGGCATTCCGTGCATTTAAGGCATGTGAACATTCCAATTCAAATTTTAGCCAATTCACATTTCTCTTTTCTAAAAACTATAAATCAACAAGAAACAAAATATTTTTGTCTAAAACATTTTGCCTTTGTGTTTTAAGTAAAATGTTAAAATAAATGGACATAAAGAAAAGTTCACCAGTGTTCAATATAACAGAGAACAAAACAAACATTTATGATTTGCTGTTGTATGCATTAGATTGATAACTCATACACAGATAAGCGTAAGTGAACAAATACATCTTTAATATTTATCTGATGGTTGGAAATTATAGACTTTTCAAAGTCAGCTGAACTTTTTAAAGCGGTAGCCGTAACCAAAAATGAACCTCACTTTTATTAAACCAAGACATGCTATTGGCAACATGAATTTGCAGAGCCCGACCGATATATCTGCAGAGCCGATACAAGCATTTGAGGACATATCGGCATCGGCAATAGCAAAATTTTCCATCTCAGCCAGGTTCTATAAATTGGCACTTTTCTATAGTTCATTCAGGGACTGGGGAATGTTACCCAACATTTATAACTTCAGAGTAATAACGAGTAGAATGTAACACTTTGTACATCTTAAAAGTGGTTTAGGAAATCTTACTGTTGACTTCGTGATGTTGTCCCAACAACCTGTGAAGAAGGGTAAAAATTATGGGGTGAAAACAAGAGAAAACCTAGGGTTTTTTGTTAAATACTTAAAATTTACAAATTGTACCCAAATGTATTGAGTCTTACTGATTTTATGTGGCTTCAGGAAACTTTCTATCCTCTCTCCGACAGTCAGTGAGGAGTCTACAGCAGATGAAGCAGCAGCTGCTGCCGGCACCTTTTTGATTTCATTCACGGCTGTCGGATCGTTCTTGGCAGATGCAGATAATTCAGTCGATCTGGCAGGAGTTTTGCTGACGGCATTTGAAGCTGAATTTGTTTGGGCCTTTATAACAGCCAAACAGTCTAAAAAAGAAAAATAAATAAGAGTATTACTAAAGTTATTAGGGCTAAAACTGTTAGTTTCGGGTCAATGTTTTTTGTTTTGTTTTTTACCTACAGCTAATTTTATTTCCTGTAAAAAGACAGGTTTTGAACCTGGAAAAAAATGGTGTTTTGTTAAACATCCAGACTGATTTGGTTTGGTTTAGGAAATACATCCACACGAACACCTTGTATGATGCATGATGCCATGGGCAGTGGCCAAAGGCAGGGACTTTGGCGCTCTGACCCTGGCTTACCAAAGCTGGCTCTTGGAACATGGAACGTCACCTCTCTGATGGGGAAGGAGCCTGAGCTTGTGGGCGAGATTGAGGATTACTGACTAGATATAGTTGGGCTCACCTCGACACACAGCATGGGCTCTGGAACTGATCTCCTTGAGAGGGGCTGAACCTTATTCCACTCTGGAGTTGCCCATGGTGAGAGGCGTCGAGCTGATGTGGGTCTACTTTTAGCCCCTAGCCCTTCGACTTGGTGCCTGTGTGTTGGATTTTTCCCCAGCAGATGAGAGGGTGGCTTCCCTTCGCCTTCGGGTGGGGGACGGGCTCTGACTGTTGTTTGTGCCTATGCGCCAAACTGCAGTTCAGAGGCCTTCTTGGAGTCCTTGGCAGGGGTGCTGGAAGGTGCACAAGCTGGGGGACTTCAGTGCCCACGTGGGTAATGACAATGTGACCTGGAGGGGCGTGATTGGGAGAAACGGCCTCTCTGATCTGAACCCGAGCAGTGATATGTTGTTGGGCTTCTGTGCTAGTCATAGTTTGTCCATCACAAACACCATGTTCGAACGTAAGGGTGTCCATAAGTGCACTTGGCACAGGATTCCCTTGGTCGTAGATCGATGGTTGACTTCATAGTCGTGTCATCTGATTTGCGGCAGTTTGTTTTGGACACTCGGGTGAAGAGAGGCGCTGAGCTGTCAACTGATCATCACCTGGTAGTGAGTTGGATCAGATGGTGGGGGAAGATGCCGGGCAGACCCGGTAGACCCAAACGTGTAGTGAGGGTTTGCTGGGAATGCCTGGCAGAAGAACCAGTCACAGAGATCTTCAACTCAAACTTCTGGGAGAGCTGTAACTGTATCCCAGCTGAAGTGGGGGACAGTGAACGGGCTCAATGGGCTATGTTCTGCAACACACTTGTTGAGGTAGCTGCCTTCAGCTGTGGCCCCAAGGTTGTTGGTGCTTCTCGCAGTGGCCATCCACGAACTCGATGGTGGACACTCGGGGTTAGGGGTCAAGCTGAAGAAGGAGTCCTATCAGGCCTTGTTGGCCAGTGGAACTCCGGAGGCCGCTGAGGAGTACCGGAAAGCTTGGATGTGGGATGAGTTTGGTAAGACCTTGGATAGAGACCCTCAGTCGGCTCCGAGGAGATTCTGTCAAACCATCAGGCGGATGAGGAGGGGAAAGTAGAATTTTACTAACACTGTGTTCTGTGAAGATGGTGTGCTGTTGACCTCAACCAGTGATGTCGTCGGGAGGTGGAAGGAATACTTCTCAGACATTCTCAATCCCACCAACACGTCTTCCATGGAGGAAGCTGTGGAGGGAGACTTTGGGGTTGATCCGTCCATAAATGTGGCTGAGGTCGCCGATGCAAGACACCCTATCCTCAGTTGCTCCCCGAGTGCTTTCCATAGCTGCCCACTGCTCCACCTGGTAGTGGATGGGTTAAATGCAGAGAGCCAATTTTGCCATTGTACGGGAACATACAATGATGACAATACATAAGCATTATTATTGCTAAAAAGCTCCAAGGCGGCAGGGCTCCGTGAGTGGATGAGATTCACATTGATTACCTTAAGGCTCTGGATGTTGTATCAATGTGAATCTCATCCACTCACGGAGTCTTGGTTGACACACCTTTGCAATGTTGCGTGGACATCGGGGGCAGTGCCACTGCATTGACAGTCTGGGGTGGTGATTCCCCTCTTCAAAAAGGGAGACCAGAGGGTGTGATCCAATTACAGAGGCATCACTCTCCTTAGCCTCCCTGGTAAGGTCTATTCAGCGGTATTGGAGAAGCAAATCCGATCGTTGGTCGAACCTCGGATCCAGGAGGAACAACGTGGGTTCCACACTGGACGTGGAACACTGGATCAGCTCTTTACCCTCACTAGCGTCCTTGAGGGGTCATGGGAGTTTGCCCATCCTGTCTACATGTGTTTTGTAGACTTGGAGAAGGCATTAGACCGTGTTCCTCGAGGTACACTGTGGGGGGTGCTCCTTGAGTATGGGATTGGAGGCCCGTTGTTACGGGCTGTTCAGTCCCTATACAAGCGGTGCGAGAGCTTGGTTCGCATTGCCAGTAGTAAGTCGGACCCCTTTAAGGTGGGAGTTGGACTCTGCCAGGGCTGCCCATTGTCACCAATTCTGTTCATAACTTTAATGGTCAGAATTTCTCGGTGCAGCCAGTGGGCGGAGGGTTTTCGGTTCGGTGACCTCAGGATTCTATCTTTACTCTTTGCAGATGATGTGGTCCTGTTAGTGTCATTGTGCCATGATCTTCAGCTCTCACTG